CCCACTTTCCTTTCTTTCTATTTTATTCCCTTAAAGAAAAATCTCCTATATAAAATAAAAAGTATAGTTTTCAAGTTAAATTTAGAGCTAATAATTAACTCTTAACTTGAAGTGAACACAAAAAATTACATATGAGGATACAAATTAACCTATAAGTTAACTACTGAAGATTACAATATTCAAGTTAATAGTTCAAAAACGAATTAATATTTCGTGTGTGATCAGCTAACAAACATATAAATAACTAAATAAATAATTCACCCACACATCTTACTTTAACGCAAAAAATCGTGATCTCTATTTTTCAACACAAATTTAGCAATCATTTTCGCTGTAAACTTATGCGAAAGATTTTATTAAATATGAAACAACATATATATTGGAAAAAATTATTATAACGATCACAATAATTATTGTAATCTACTATTCAAATGTGTGTAAATATTTGAATATATTCAAATATTTCAATATACAATTGGTCAATTTTAATGCATGGGTTACGAAAAATTAATTCGGATTCATTATATTAAGCATGAATGCCAAATGAATTGTAAACATGGCAGGAATATATGTCAAAACCATGCAACCCCAGAATCAGAAAATAGGTACAACTTTAAATAAACAACTTTAATTCATTATTTAATATTTAGGCAGTGGTTTATTATGCAAAAAAGTATACAATAATAATTTAATGAAATATAATATTATAAATAATCTTCTATTTAAAAAATAAGAAGAGGAAGTCATGTAATATAAAAAAATATACATGAACAATGTGATGGAGCCGGGTCCAAAAAAAACAAGAGGAGATTTTTCTGTAAATAATACAAGTTTATATATTAAAAAAATAATCGTACTTTAAAAATGAAATTGTAAAGCGATGCAGGATTGCAAGGCACGAGCTATTGTGCGAACCTCCCACCACGACAACCATAGCGACACTGGAGCTACGCACCACGACTACCATGCAGTCTCCTATTGATTGGACCACAGCGCATGCGCGGCACTCAGCTCTCTCTATTACTCTCCTACTCTCTATCTCTCTCTCACTCGCATTCTAACTCTAATTCTTCCCTCTTTATTTACTCTCATTCTTTTTATCCTTCGCTTTCGTTTATTCCCAAACTATTCTAGCGTTGGCTGCTTACTTTCAGACGTTTCGTGTTTTCTCGTAATTTTTTCTGTTACCAGTCCATTTATGTTTACTCGTTTATTGCTGCTTCTCTATCACTAGTTTATCAACAATTCTCGTCCTCTTTCCTTGAGTTATAACTCATAGTTCTTAAAGCTCTGCAACTCCATTCTATTTCATCTTTCACCATTCGTTTTATGTTGATATATTTTACGTTGACGTTTACGTTGACATGTTTACGTTGACGTTTACGTCGACATGTTTGTTGACATCTTCTCTCATTAGCTCTACCTTGCCATTATTACCACACTCTCTATAACCCTCCTACTTGCTATTCCCCCATCTACCACACCTCACTTATCTGACCACACTACATCCTTTTATACCATATTTTTCTCAACATTTTCTCCGAGATATCTCCTTTACTTTACGAAATGTTTAATAATAATGTATCATCATCTTATCTCGATCCCTTACAGCTTTTTTTTCTTGAACTTTTGCCTTAAACTTGTTCTTTGATACATTTTTTTCATTTGTAATAATTTTTGAACATTCTTTTAATTGTTGGAATATATCATATATGAAATTATATTCTTACAATATTTACATGTCAGGAAGCCTTACATTCTCTTATCACTCTTTCGCTATTACGGAATTTATTTAATGAAAAATCTGTCATTTGGGGGGAAAATATTATTACATTTGAAACCAATGAAAATTTAGACGATTAATAATAATCCGTTAATAGAAAATAATATATCAGGTGTAATTGACGTGATAAACTTTTCTATGAGGAGTAATTAAACATTGCTAAATTGAATGCGCTTCATTCAGTAAAATTTAAATATATTTATTCATATTCATTTCAAAGATTTGCAATTTTTCTATATAATAGCTAATTGAGGACGTACAATTATGTGGGAAGCAAGAATTTAAATGTTATTTAAGTCAATACGCTTAGAATACAACAGTTCACAATGGCGTTCGCACCTGTGGACGCACGTAACCTTTAGGAAGGAAGTCAATACAAGCCCGCTGCTCTAGTTCCTCGCGAGCACCCTGCGCGATTGTCATGAGACATTCATTCAATGATTCATTCACACACAGACATTCATCAAATAACAACCACTCCTATCGACATAATAAGGTTATATACTCCCGTGTCTATATTATAATACATAGGAGACATTTTATCGCATGCGAGTGGCCAAAATGTTCACCTTTTATAGATATTTTAACAACTATTGATCAATTGGTGTTTGTGGAATGGAAATGATATATTCTTCTTTAATATAATATATCCCGTAGATAAATGAACATGAATAGATAAATAATTATTGTACTGCGATTATTGCACTGTTCTATGGGGTTGTAGCATTCACTCTGCACGAAAAATGTACCCGGAAATTTACATTAAATAAAATGCCCAATTTTGTTCGATTTATTTAAACAGATTTGGTACGTACAATGAAATTTTTAGAGCACAATTAATAACGAAGCTGCACAAGTAATTACACTTCGTAATTTGAGCCCTGTATTATAGATAACGTGTAAAAATTATTAATTACTTCATTAACACTTCGTATTGAAAATAACTGCATTAAATTTTAATAAGTTATCAATCAATACACAGCGAAATCCCGCTTTGGAGTAAGTTAAATGTTAGTTTCCAGTTCCGTAGAGTTCAAATGAACAATAGTTGAAATATTGTAATTCTAGTGTATACAAGTCATGAAATACGATTTTTGTATATAAGTCAAGAAATACGATTTTTAAGCTCCACGTCAGAATTTTAGCTATCGTTAACACAGAAATGAAAAATGTTACTATTATTACAGTGAACATACATTAGTTCAGCATCACATTCGCGGTGAGCAGTGACAATATGAACTGAACTTTTACGTCATTATTACGTAGATGCTTTTTAATTTTATTTCATTATTGTTTTATTTATACTAATTTAACTTCAATATTTCGTTATTATTAGGTAGGTACTTCTAAATTTTATTTAGGATAATACGAGAGTATAAAAAATCTAGACTTAATTACACTGAAATTTTTATAGATGGGAAAATATTTTATCAAAACGTTCATAGTTCAAAAACCAAGATTAAAAACCAAGATTAGGACAAGAAAAAGCGTATTCATAACATTGTACTCCACTTTTCCTAATATTAAATTACAGAGAAAGTGTCAACCAAAATGTAGAAAAATAAATCAATCATATTTTGAAACTGCATGACTCCAGTCAAAATATTGATATATCTATATTATCTAAATATAATATATACCTTCTACAAATTTTGTCAAATTCACAATTATTGCTTCGCGAATAAAAAAATAGCAAAACCATTAAAAGTTTACCAACAATAGGCTGCATACAATATAAGAATGTAGTATAGATTTTAAAATTAACACTACTTGAAAAACAAACGCAAATTAAATTTAAAGTCTCAGTCAACTTAATTTCATTAAATCATGTTCGGAAATTACACGCCGAAAATTAACACACCAAACTAGTGCAGCTTCAACTCAGAAAGTTCGCGTGAATTCATTATAGTATAACAACCCCAGTCGGCTAATTAATTATGAACCCTTGACCAGTCACATGTGAATTTAAAACCTGCTTTCAATACCAAAAATTGGCATTTCAATTTGTTGTTTCTGTTTAAGAAATTTCGGTCAAATATCTAAGCATATCATAATCAGAGACGACAGCCGATTTTGTTTACTCGCTTCATAGCGACTCCATTTAATTAATAAGGTAACTTAATTGGTCATATTTATTCCAAAATCTAATATTTATGACAGAACTTCTTTAAATTCCATGACTAAAAAGATGGACAAGTATTTACATATTACAAAACTAGCATAACTTTTAGTGGCATTATCTTTTTAAAATCGTTGGGGAATCTTTGGTAACGCCAACAATTGGCTAAATATATTAGATTTAACATTATGCAGATCAAATTAATATGAGTAAAGTTGACACGTAGACATTATCGAGTCTCCAATGTTCCACAATTAGGCGGGAAAGCCGTGGTAAAGGAGCCGGTGATAGCAGCCAGAAAGCCGATGATTTATTTGAAAATCTAAGCTTTCTAAATTTTTCAAAAATATACAAACGAAATCTCCATAAAAATTCTTCGCTCACACAACTCATATGTTACGCTAAATTCGATGTAATATTATTTACTTTGCTTGCTTCTATTTTTCTTTCTCCTCTTCTTCGCGTAAAATCTTGCGTATGGAAATTGGAAACGCGACACACATAACAATTTACTTTTCTTGCTTCTATTTTTCTTTTTCCTCTTCCTCCCGTATTATCTTACGCATTTCCATGGGATACGTAACACATTTCCACGCCAGACGCAAGATAATTTACTTTGCTTTCTTCTGCTTTTCTCTCTCTTCTTCCTCCCGTATTATCTTACGCATTTCCATGGGATACGTAACACATCTCCATGCCAGACGCAAGATAATTTACTTTGCTTTCTTCTGTCTTTCTTTCTCTTCTTCCTCCCGTATTATCTTACGCATTTCCATGGGATACGTAACACATCTCCATGCCAGACGCATGAACACCCAGAACCTGTCTCTTATACACATCTAGATGTGTATAAGAGACAGCGNCTGCTACCCATCACCTTCTATCCTTCTATCTATCTATCCTACAGAACTGCTACCATCACCTTCTACCGCTTACAGAACTGCTACCATCACCTTCTACCTCTTACAGAACTGCTACCCATCGCCTTCTTCCCCTTACAGGACTGCTACCCATCACTTTCTACCGCTTACAGAACTGCTACCATCACCTTCTACTCCTTACAGAACTGCTACCATCACCTTTTACCGCATACAGAAATATTCGATGGACTGCTACCTCCGGCAAGAGTGGCATGACGAACGCCTAACTTTCAAAGGACCACTCCCTGTGTTAACACTCAACATCAAAATGCTGGAGGCGCTCTGGAAGCCGGACACTTTCTTCCACAACGGCCTCGGCTCCTACATCCACATGATCACCAGACCTAACAAACTCTTCAGGATCACGCAGGATGGCAGGATTCTCTACTCCATGAGGTGAGAAGCGAGAAATGAAAACTTTCAGGACCACACAGGATGACAGGATTCTTATTCCATGAGGTGAGAGACGAAGAACTAAAACTTTTCAGGATCACGCAGGATGGCAGGATTCTCTATTCCATGAGGTGAGAGACGAGAAATGAAACCTTTCAGGATCACACAGGGTGACAGGATTCTTATTCCATGAGGTGAGAGACGAAGAACTAAAACTTTTCAGGATCACGCAGGATGAGAGGATTCTTTACTCCATGAGGTAAGAGACGAGAAATTAAAACTTTGAGGATAACGCAGGATGGCAGGATTCTCTACTCCATGAGGTGAGAGACGAGAAATTTAATTCATCAAAGTTGTAAGTTTAAAACGTATTTGTTCAAAAATTTCATTGCTAGCAAATATTGAAATGTGGGAACAATAATTCTTCAGAATCACGCTGGAAAGTCGAATTTTTTTACGGTTGGTGACACCAACGGAATTCGAAGTTTAACTCCCGATAAAAAGTTGAAATTACCAATTATATATAAACAGGTGTGTGGAGACCTCGAATGTTTTTGACGGCACATATGATTTCACAACAATTTATTATTTAATAATTCTCTCCTGTCAATGAGTAAACGGTAATCGGTTACAAATTTATGAGGTTGTAAGCGAAGAAGTAATAATGAAATTGTAAAATATCTACCTTAATTGATTCAAGAACATGAACAGTTTTTCATCTCCAAACCTATTCTTTTTAATCCGTATTATATTAAGATTATTTAGCAATAACTATACCTTCACTCGGTGCGTTAACAACTTTTTTAAATTATTCAGTTCTCAATAACTCAAGTAAAAAAACTTGCATTTCTCTAATAAAGTTCAACGGTATGCCACACACGATTACCGCCCATAGATTTAAGCCACTGATATTGGTCAACCTTACAATTTTCCACGTATCTGATAATTCCAATAAACAATTTAACGCTCAATATGCTTGCATTAAACTGAGGTTTATAATTAGTGTCGTATTTACAAGCATAAGCATTTCATTTCACCCTAGTGTTTTATTTGCACGGCATGCAGAGCGGCCAGTAAAGCGCAGCTTGAGCGCATCAAACGCGTCACAAATAAACACGGCTACGTCAAACGTGACGAGTGCCGTGTGTTGCTCTGACACAAGCCGTGTGTTGCTCTGAAATATGCCGTGTGCCATGTGTTGCTCAGACACAGGCCATGTGCTGCTCCGACATATGTCGTGTGCCATGTGTTGCTCTGACACAGGCCATGTGCTGCTCCGACATATGCCGTGTGCCATGTGTTGCTCTGACACAGGCCATGTGCTGCTCCGACATATGCCGTGTGCCATGTGTTGCTCTGACACAGGCCATGTGCCTGTCTCTCTCTTCTTCCTCCCGTATTATCTTACGCATTTCCATGGGATACGTAACACATCTCCATGCCAGACGCATGAACACCCAGAACACCGCGCACAGCAGCAAGTATGGCACCGCACTCAGCACCATTTGCACGATCTGCAAGCAATACGGTTATTTATTATTTCAATTATTAAAATATCCATATTTATGTTATTTATGATACATTTAAAGGTATACATCAGCACCATCTGCACGATCTGCCAGCAATACAGGTATTTATTATTTATTTTATATTATTTATTTATTATATTATTATTTATTACACAAATAACATATACATATATATATGTTATTTGTGATACATTTAAAGATATACTTACCACACATAAGATATGTGTCATTTTCTGAAACTACTGCGATTGCCGGTAGAATAAGAGCGATGCGAAAAAATACGATTATATTCAATATTATGTATGGCATTAATTAATTTATTGGATTGATATTTTCCTCAACTGATGCGAATTAAGGATGATGGTTGTACACACATTGGTTCCAATACATTTTGTATGTGAGTTCAAACATTAAATATTTATCACGGGCGTCTGCAAATCATGATTAACAATTGCTTCTCCTAACAGTGTGTCATGGTTAATATACCACTGTTAATATACCAATCAGCCATAACATACTCGTTATGTCAACTCATACACTACATTATACACGCTTAATTAAATTTTTTAAACTTAAAAATATTCATGGATCATCAGAGGTCCGCGCGCGATTCCATAAACATCAATTGATTAATAGTTTTTAAAATAACCGCAGTTTAATAATATGTTAATGTTCGCAATACTTATTATCATTAATCAATTAAATAAATAATTGTCAAACTTCAGCGTAATGGTTTCAACATGGAACGGCAGGAGAAATGCCATCACCTTATTTCCATTAACTCACCTGATCGCCATTCATGTAGACGATGGGGTTGGTCATGATGAATAACGTTGCTTGGCTGCAATTCACTTCATGTAAAATAAAAATATCAGGTCAGTGCAGGAGCGCGAGCGACACATGCGTCTCCTATGACAGCAGCACGCCAACTGCTGTTGCATGCTCAACTCTCATGCATGTTAGACGGCGTCGAGGGGAGACTCTCATAAATGTAAATGCTAAAGATCGACTGAGATCGCGCGTTAAATAATTAAATCATATCCAACGACTTACCCACTAGTTTTATAGCTATAATAAATTTTTACCTGAATAAATTCAAACCACTGATATCTTTAGAGAAAACTATAAATTCGAGCTAATTTGTTTGTACCAAATAACGTTTGTGACTCCAAATCGTTCATTAAAATAATGAATCCAGACATGATCAAAATACATGGATTTAAAAATAAAAAACATTCTTATACATTTTCACTTCGCATATAGCCATGAAATTAAAATCTTCATTCTGTAATGCTGAACAGATGACTTGAATTTTTATACCTACAATAATTACGGGGCGGAATGCAAGTATTCAATAGCGAATGATTAAATTATATATCAAATAGTGCAAGATGGCGTCACTTGGAACACTTGATTCGGCTGGCAGCTGCACGATGTTTCATTGGCAGCTCATCGTAGAAAAACATAACATTGCACTTGTAATGAAATATTGCACTGCATTTTCCTATTCAATATAAAAGCAATTGAAATGCCTGAATAATATTCAGTAATATTCTATATGAAAAAAACTCTTTGAAATGTTAGAAACTATCTTCGCGTTTTTTTTATCGAATTCATTGTTAACTCGCGATTTCAAGCAATCACTTGACTTTCTATTCATAATGAAAATAGTTGTAAGCTGGAGGATGTTTGTTAAGATTAAGATATGACTTCTTTATCTATTTTAATTTTGGATTTTTAAATTCTACAGTTAAGAAAGTTTTTAGCACGAAAAAAATTCATATCGTCTCCATTATTTTAACCATTAACATAGGTATTAAAATTTAATATATATAATAGACGTTTATATTCCTGGTTATTATTATCATCCTTAGTATCACCGATAATATTGCCATTGAATAATTTCCTCTATCATTACTAGATTGCATATGAACTCTACCATATAAAGCATTTATTATAACAGTTATCAAATTATCAATTATAACAGTTATTACATTATCATCAATTGCCTTTCGTGCATAAAACAGCTGTATCAATTACGATTCGTTTATGAAACATCTTTATCAATTCCGTTTCAACGAAACACCCATATCAATTCCGTTTCGTTTACGAAAAACATAAGTAGAAAAACATAAAACAGAAATATGAACAAATTTACTTCGATTGATGAGAAACATTCTCAGCGTCTTAACATTCAAGATCGAAATAAGGAAAGGCTCAATTATCGATCCCGTGTACAAAGTCTGCTATAACAAAATAACGTTCGTAAAATTTGATGTGATAACGTTCGTGAAATTTGATATGTACGTAGAAACTAAAATGGCTTATTCAGTTTTCCATTGGAAAAAGGTTCCAGTATGAGCAGTTATTGAAAAAATCCAGCTTAATAGTGGGAGAGAGAGAGAAAAATTAATGCAGTCAAGTTGAGACTTAGAACTCATACATTATACGACACGGCAAGTAATGCTTAAAAATAATCTTTGGCTCATAATTAAAAGATATAATGCAAAGTGATCAGCACTGCTTATAAATACAAGGTGGCTGTCAACATCGCAAAAGATGATTAAATAAAAATTAAGCTAATGACTACATTATTCTAACATAAGGAATGCTACAAAAAAAATATTGACAAAAATCACATGCCTTTTTGCCGCACAATGTTTGTCTACGGAGCACAAACACAATCTTGACAATCACGAGGAGGTCAAACAGGAGTTATTTGCACTGCAAAATGCTGTGTCTCCGCAACTGCGGACAGTAATATGCTTCCGACAATCACCGATTGGCCATCGAAAACTGGATGCCGGAAAACTTATAGCTTTACGTGACCAAAATAGTGATTAATGTCGGGAAATCTTACAGATATTGTCGAATAATAATGTTATTTATAATTAGTATTTATTATTTCATTTACAATTAAAGTCAAGAAGTGGATTTTTTAAATACGAGCACATTCAAAAAATTATCTTTTATTTAGCATAAAATTTGCCTTAAATTTCTGTTATCCAGAATATAATAATATGCGTTTAAAAATTATTTTTTAAAGGCCATACTTCTAAAGAATCCAGTGACTTAGATGTTACACATGTACAATGAATTTCTAATTTTATTTTCAAGTATTAAAAAATTAATTTTCATATTTTCTTTAATATCAACAAATTTGTAAATTTTTAATATTATATATTCTGTCAATTGATTCATGCATTGTCTCCAACTTTACGCAAGTCTGTAAAATTTCAGATAGATTGGAGAGGTAGAAGTGAGTTAAATATCGATTATAAGATTTGTAGCAGACAGACAAACAAACAAGAAGTGAAGTTAAAGAGAAGTGTTGTAAAAAGTAACAGTGAAGCATCATTTATTGTTGGAAAAGTTAGAACTCGCGACCGTTCCAAAGATATCTGAGAATGCAGCCGGGTATATAAAGACACCCGAACCTTGCCTCGGCAGTGTTGCAGCGAACACTGCAGTGGCAGGTAGGGTGGGTGCGACGCTCTGACTTCAACACGCCAGTCACAGAAAATTCCACACTTTGACTTCGCTTAGAAAAAATCCTCAGACTCAAAAAATTAAGTGTTATTATCCGGACATGCTCAGGATCTAGGCCAATATTTCCTCTCTGCAGTAATCTTCTTCAGATTAACAGAAGATAGTCCACTTTGTTGTAAGAATGTGATTAAAATTTTGTATTTTTATATAAATTTGAATTTATTTAGTGTATTGTAGCATTTTTACTTCAAAATGCATGTCAAGGAACTGTCTAGAGCATATTTTACTGTCATTTACACGGCAGGAAAGGAGTATTACTTATATTAAAGTTTTGTTGTTCGACAAGAATTATATTATTTTGGCTTTCATTTCTGTGAATCAAGTGTTGCTGCTCAATGGAATGTAGACGTGTATCATCATTTTCACTAAAACAATACATCCAAGTATTGTGACTCTACAATTTACTTTCATGTACCGAGTTAAAAATTAATCAAAACCATTAATAGATGTATCATCGCTCTACAATAAACATTCATTAATATGACTCTTCATCCGCATGCACTGTTAGAGATTCTCTACCTCTACCCAGGCTCTACGTCCAATTATTATGCCTTCACAACCATGTCCCGTAATACTCTACCAAGATCTACCATGACTCTACCTACTAATGTATAGACGTTCAAAAAACACACATTGATTTTGTTCAAAACAGCCTCAGTTACGTCGTTTATTTTCAATGGTAACATCTGTCGACGTAACTGGTATACTCTATTGTGTTCTTTTAAAACGCTATGCATTATAACTGCGGAGCAGTTAAAAAAATTATATCCTGCCAAAAGCTCAACACGGCGATTTCAAGTTTGAATGATGCACCGTAGGACACGGCAATATTGATTTAAAAATTAAAATTAACACGGTGGTACTAATATTAAAATTGCAGTACGAAATAATTATTAAATAATATTAATAATTATTTAATATAATGATTAATATTATTATTATTAATTAAATATTAATATTATTAATTAAATATTAATGTCAAATATTTAATTAATTAATATTAAATTATTAATATTGCAGTACACGGCGATATTAATATTAACAAGACAGGATGAATACTAACACAATGATGCTAATGATAAAGCCGCTGTATTAACATTAACATGGCAATATTATTATTATAAAAAGAGCTATATTAATAATAACACGTTGGTATTATTATAAGCACATATTAAGGGGCTGTAATGCCGTTGCATTCATATTAATCAACGCTGTGATTATAACATCAACACAAGTATATACATATTAGCACTGATGTATTAATAGCAATAATTCAACAGTATTGATATGGCCTAATTTGAAAATATATTAATTTTCCAACTTTATTTCGCAACAGCGTGTGACGCAGAGACCTTGATATGCTTCCATCACTTCCCATTGATATTTGGTGCAACCTGAATTATTCTCGCCGAAAAAATATTATTTTTGTAACTAAATTGGCCATAATAATTAATAATAAGTGTAATACATACGACAATGGCCCGTAGGCTGCTGCTTCTAGCAGTTATGTTGCAGTTCGTGGAGAGCAGTGCCTCTGTGGAGACCAAATATGAACTGAGCGTCCAAGCCAGCAGGCCTGCAGTGTCTCTGGTCCAAAATTTTAACGCCCTAGCGAACAAATTATCGCTCAGTAGTAAGGCCATCGAATTGCAGTCAATCAATAATAAATTAAGTGTACAAGACGAAAATAAGATGTCAGATGAAACAAAAGTCAAAGAAATAACTGGTGAAAGAAAAACAGGAAATACGAAAATAAAATTTGAAAAAAATGGATCATTCACTACGGGAAAAGATGCCTTTCAGAAGATGAACTTATTTCAACATTACGATGAAGATTTGGAAACTGAATTGATTACTAAAAGGTGAGTCTTGATCCAATAAAAATAAAATTAATAATTAATTTGTGGTTATCAAGTTTGGTATTGTAAGCGAACATGAATGAAGAGTTTTTATTTTGATTCATAATCTCAGATTACCCGCCTCCACTTAAATAATAACAAACAATCAACTTAAATAAAAATTAAAAAATAATAATAGTCTCGATAGCTAGTTTATGGAAGAGATAATTTAAGCGTTTACAAAATTATTTTTGGCGTGTTTCTTTGATTCAATGATTCACAACTCATCTCTTTTTCTCCGGCCGGTACCCTCAAAAATTTCATTTATTTCAAGAGCTTACGAATTGCGCTATTTATTATGTTCTACTCTGCTACAGAAACATTTCGTATGGAAATATACTAAATGTATCAGAAAATTTGAGTTGAAGGTCTTCAAACATTTTCTTTCTTCCTGAATTTCGATTCCAACAACCAGGCGAAAATTCACATATAATTTAATATCAAAACTGTTCGGACTAAATTATTT